GTCTCTCAGCGGTTCTTTTCATCTGCTTGACGCTGGCTATTGGTCTGCTGCTGTGGGTTTCTCTGTTGCTGCTTCCTTCGGCAGTCAGCTGGGGATTTGTTCTCAGCGGGCTCTCAGTTGCTGTGTTGGTTCTGGGCTTATGTTCATTCCTCATGGTTTTCATCATCTCGCAGTTGCTGTCTCTTGGGTTTCCAGCTTTCCTCCAGCTGAATTTTCTGGATCTTCAGCTGGACTCTCAGCTGGCTTTTGCTGGCCTTCATGTCCCATTTTATGTCCTTTTCTTTTTTGATGGTTTATGCCACATTGGCTTCCTTGTTTTTGTTAAAGCCCGGCTTCCTTGCTTCTTGTAATTTCTGCTCATTTCAATATATCCTCCTTTTTTTCAAAAAAAAAAAAAAAAATAGGTTTAGGAAAAGCATGGTGAGAGTTGTGGTGAATGTTGGAATATTTGGGTCGCCGGAGTTGGACTCCAGAGAGAAAGGGAGGAGACAAATTGTTAGAGCAATTACTGAGATACCTCGGCGTAAGAGATTTTGGGGATGAGCTGGGCATGAGAGATTTTGGAGATTTTGGGGATGAGTAGGGAAGATTTTGGGGGATGAGTTTTGGAAGGCAGAGGATGAGATTGAGAAGGATTCTGAGAGAGATTTTAGGGGAAGATATGGGGGAATCAGAGGAGACTGGGGCGTCAGTCAAGCAAAAAGCCCTTATAATTAAAACAGGAATTTTGTTGGGCGGGGAAACTAATTTCGGTAATCACAATATACCGTTAGATCAAAATTTTTGAAATGATCTGAACCGTCTTTTATGTTGAGATTACATTGTCCGTCGGATGTGCTTATGTTTTGTCTCAAAACGATCTGAACCACTCTGTCTCTTGGATTCAAACTCAACTCTACTTTATTATATAGATTATAGCATTGTATATTAAATTTTATCACAATTGACCTAGATAATCTTAAGGTTCCAATATGATTAATTTATTGATAATTATTTTTATTTTATTAAATGATTTATAAGTAAAATCTTAATCAAATTAATTTTTTAATTATTTATTCTTTATTTATAAATGTCAATTTTTATGAAACTTTTTGACTTATTATATTACTCTTCAAAAATATATGCATTATTATAAGTTTTAACAAAATATTAAAAAAAAACCTTCAAAAACTCCATTAATATAATATTACTCATCTCATTTATAAAGATAATATTATGACTACGTATGTATATTTTATTTTTCATCAAAAACATTTTATTTTTAAGAAAAAAATAATGTATATATAGTTTTATATAATTTTTTAGTTATAGTAAACTTTTTAAACTATGTTATATCAAATAATAACCGATCATTTTTCTTAAAGTTAGAATAACCAATCTTGAAAATATACAAAATTTTCAAAAATTCTATAATGGAGCATGAGCAATGAAAAAATAAATTTGGTAAAATTGAGATGATATTTAATTCAAACATATATACCAAATAATTATTTATTAAATTTTTTTTAAAAAAATTAGTCACGTGGCGCATTGCTAGTACAAATATATGTTTTATTTACACTTTGAACAAGGACTTCATTTTGACTAGAACAAAGGTTTGAACATAATCATAATATTCAATGATCGAGATTTAAAGCAATATTTAAGCATATATCAATATCTAGTGTGTGTCACACCCTGATTCCCATAAAATGAGAAACATGAGTTTAAAACCATAATAATTATACTTAGGTTACTCCGGATTTTATTAAGAAAATATCTATATCTATACTACTATAAAATATCAACATATATGAAAAACATTTTTTAGACACTTTTGTCCTCCAAAATTTTGAAAATGCCAAGATCACCATTGAATTTAAATACCAAACATTTGTGACATTAATCATACACATCTCCATTTTTAAACTTTTGGTTTCCTAACCTCCTTTTCTCTCAACCACATCTCTATATTTACTTCCATCCTTCACATACCAATTGTTCGCTTCTACCCATAACAAATAAATGACTTTCTTGTATGTGACTTTCTTGTAGCTCTGAGGAGGAGATTTCTCATCAGGCTGTCACTTTCTTTACTAAATTGTACAAGTCTAAAAACCATACCCTTGATGAAGAGTTATTTGGGGTCATTCCTGAGCTTGTTGGACCAACTGACAACGAGAATTTGACTATGGCTGCCACCTTAATTGAAGTTAAATAGGTTGTGCTTTCTATATCTGTGGAAAGCGCCCTTGGAACTGATGGTTTCTCTGGTAGATTCTTTCAAGTTGCATGGGATATTATTAAACATGACATGTTAGAAACGGTTAACTTTTTCTTAAGTGGGGGAGTGGTCCCAAGATCGGTCAACCCCACACTCCTCGTTTTGATTCCAAAAGTGTTGAAGCCCTGTTCTTTCTCAGAGTTCAGGCCCATAAGTCTATGCAATTTTTTATACAAAGTCTTCACTAAGATCCTATCCAATAGACTTGCTTCCCTTCTTCCATCTCTGATTTCAAATGCATAGCATGGTTTTGTCAAAGGGAGAGGGATTGGGGACTGTATTTCTTTAGCTCAGTTAATGGTGGAGAGCTTGATAGGAAAGTTGAGGCTGGCAACGTGATTCTTAAACTGGATATGATAAAGGCGTACGATCGCATAGAGTGGGATTTTTTGAAAAGAACCTTGACTTGTTTTGGCTTTTCAAGCTTGTTCATTTCTATCATTGGCAACTGCTTAAAGAATCAATTTTTCTCGGTCTGCTTGAATGGGAAAAGATTCGGTTTCTTTCCTTCGTCTAGAGGACTGAGACAAGGTGACCCAATTTCTCCGGCTCTCTTTATTCTGGCAGAGGAGGTTTTAAGTAGAGGACTGTTGAAGCTGTATGGTGAAGGCAGAATCAAGGCTTTTCATGCAGGGAGGAATGCACTTCTTGTCTCTCATCTGCTTTTTGCAGATGATACTCTACTGTTTCTTAGGGGTAATAAACTTTCCATGGAACGATTGATGAGGTTTTTGGCAAGATACAAGGATAGCTCTGGACAGAGGATAAGTAAACATAAAAGCTCTTTCATATGTTCCTCCAATATTCCTCGGGGCAGGACAATGACTCTATCCAGAATTGCTCAAATTCCAATAAAACAATGTCCCTTCGTCTACCTGGGATGCCCCATGATAAGAGGAAGATATAAACTGCGGGATTTTGAGGATGTGGTCCTAAAATTCAAAGCCAAAATGGAAGGGTGGTACGCACGCTTACTTTCAAACATGGGCAGAATTGTGTTGATTAAATCAGTCCTTAATTCTGTTCCTATTCATTTGCTCGCTTGTCTAAGCGTGCCCAAAGGCATCCTGGCAAAGTTGAATTCTCTCATGGCCTCCTTTATGTGGCTAGGCAGGATGGGGGAGAGGAAAAGGCATTGGGTTTCATGGTCTGTAATTACAAGACCCAAGCAAGAGGGGGGGCCTAGGGATTCGTAAATTTGAAGATATCCAAACGGCATACCGTTGGAAGCAGGCATGGGGTATTCTTAAGGGCGACTCTCTGTGGGCAAACATGTTTAGAGAAAAATTCTTAAGAGGCAATCACTTGATGCGATGCACGGGTACTGGAAAAATGCGTATATTTTGAATGCTGCAACCTTTCTTTAGCTTGATTATGACCAACTCACAGGTCATGGTGGGGAATGGGAAGAATGTTGACTTTTGGTGTTCGAACTGGACTGGATCTGGCCCTCTTCTGCTCAGGTATGCCGTTTCTCCCTCGTGTTTTCCATGCCTGGATGAGTTATGGGCTGATGGGTGCTGGCAGTGGCAAAGTTTGGGGGTGCAGGTATCTGAACAGTTAAAGCATGAAGTACAGAATTCTATGATTTGTTTAAGCGAAAAAGAAGATCGACTGATATGGAAATTAACTGATTCGGGAGAGTCCAATGTCAAGTCTGCTTGGGAGGCAGTGAGAGCTTCGAGTGTCCCTGTGCCTGTGACCTCTGTGATCTGGAACCAATCGGTTTTCCCAAGTGCAAAACTGCTGGGCTGGAAGATATATCAGAAAGCAGTAGTAGAGGACTCAAACTTCCAACGGGTCGGTGTTGATTTGGCCAGCAGATGTTCTCTACGTTACAAGGCTGTGGAATCTACTTCTCACCTGTTCATACAATGCAACTTTGATAAAGAGGTTTGGGGGAAACTGGCTGCATTTCGTGGTTTTCAGGTTTTCTCCGCTGAATCCTTTGGTTTGTATGATGAGACTGATCAAAATTTTTAAAAAACACTCTGTAAGTCAGAACTTGTTAAGAGGTGTTCCACTGGTGGTAATTTGGAGATTATGGAGGGAGCGATGCAGAAGGGTCTATGAAGATAGCTCACTCTCGGCCTATGCTGTGTTTCTAGATATCTGCTCCACTCTGCGTCTTCAGGCTTATGGCGTTAGACCTAAAGATAAGGAAGGCATGATTGGTATGGAATTCTTGAGGGCATTAAAGGTAGAGCTGAGGCATGAGCTGAAACAAAAAATTATTTGCATAAACTGGTCCCTTCCTCCTTCGGGCATTTTAAAGCTAAATGTGGATGGGGCATCGAAAGAAAATCCTGGAAGAGCTGGGGGCGGAGCTGTGGTAAGGAATGACTTGGGGCACATAGTTCTGGCTGCTTCTTTTTTTTACGAGGTGTGTTCCAACACGGAAGCTGAGTTGCATGCTCTCAAGGATGGTTTATTGCTATTTAGAAGTTATGGACTTCTAAATTATAATCTTCAGATTGAAACTGATTCGGCCATGATGGTTCAAATGATAATGAAAGGGCACATGAGGGCCTGGAAGTTTTGGAGAATTTGTGATTTGCTGTTTTGGAGGGTACCTCTTCGGATTTCACACTTGATTTAAAGATTCCTCTCCGGGCTAAATTAATCCAGATGCAGGATCAACAAGGTGTTAAAACGCCAAGGAAAAAGTGCGTCATTTTTGTGATTTTTTACCTATATTATGGATCCATTTCACATGATGGGGCTTTTGCTAAGGCTTCCATGGTTTATGGTCATTGGACTGTTTAGCTGGTTTTGCTCTAGTCAGCTGATTTTCTTTCCAACTGGTTCTCTCTGTGATGTGGTGCTTTCAGTTTGGAGGACTCTGCTGGTTTCCCTTGTTCCTGCTGGTTTTTCAGGCAACATCTGTTTCTTTAATGCTGTTGTGGGGGTTCTCATGTTGCTTTTCTGCTGCTTGTTGTCTGGATGCACTGTTCATGTGAACTGCTTCGCGATTGCTGCAGATTGTCTCTTCCAGCTGATCTCAGTTGGTTTATTGACTGGAACACAGTTGGTTTTCAGCTGGGACTTCAGCTGCTCCTAACTGAGATTTATTGTTACTTTTACGCCTTCTGCTGTATCATGTTGGCATTTATTGGCTTCCTCTCAGATGTTGGTATTTCACGGTTCTGTTCAGCAGCATTTCTTCTCTGTCCAAGTCCACTGCTCACGTGAGCAGTCCGGTTGCTGCACTGCTGAATCTTCTTGTTTTCCAGCTGGTTTTCCAATTGGTTTCTTGCTTGTATGAGCCACTCAGCTGGCCTCTCTACTGTTTTTTTGGTTTTGCAATGAAGGAGTGCTGGGGGCTGTGTGTGGGTTCTGATCAGAAGGGGACTGTTCACGTGAACAGTCCAGATGCTACTGCAGCTGATTTTTTTGTTTCTTTCCTCGGTTCCAGCGGCTGCTCTGAATTAACTGGCTTTCAGCGGGATCCCAGCTGCTTTCTCTTATGGTGTTACTGCTGCCTTTTCTGATGAATTTCAGCTGCCTCTGCTCTCACCCTTTGCAGCTGCTTTTCATGCGTCTGTTCACCTGATTACAGCTGGAATTTCAGCTGCTGTTCAACTGGATTAATGCCACTTTTGTGCCTTCTGCTGTTCAACAAAATTTCTATAATAGAAAAGAGAACAAAATACATATTATCAAAGAAATGCTAAGCAATTAAAGGTTAGGAAAATCATGAAAACAACAACGAAAAATGAAAAAAAACCTATCGGATAATGAGAATGTTGGAGGATGAAAATAATAGAAAGAATGCCTGTAATAAACAAAAAACACAAAACAAGTAGAAATAGTCAAGTGCAAAACATATTTTACATAGAAAAGAAAGTCAATGGATCTAGGACGAATTGATATATTTATCTTTTCAATCATAAGCTCCCTTTGCAAACTCCTAATGTTCTTCCATGATTTATCCTTTTGCTCCCCTCCAAATAATTTAACATTGTTTCCAACATATAACAACTTAATAGAAAGATAGTAGAAAAATAAAATAAAATAAAACATAATTTATTTAATAGAAAAACGAACAAAATACATATTATCAAAGAAATGCTAATCAATTAATGGTTAGCAAAAACATGAAAACAACAATAAAAAATGAAAAGAAATCAATCGGAAAATGAGAGGGTTGAGAGATGAAAATAATAGAAAGAATGATCATAACAAACAAGAAACACAAAAACAAGTAGAAATAGTCAAGTGTAAAGCATAATTTACATATAAAAGAAAACCAATGGATCTAGGACGAATAGATATACTTATCTTTTCAAGCATAAGCACGCCTTGCAAACTTATCTCCTTCAACTCTTCTTAATATTTCAAAAGCAAATATCCATTCTACAAACAATTGAAACTAAAACACAAAATAGATTGGTCACGCACATAAATATGAAAATCTCAAAAACAACAACAAAAAATAATAAGAGACAAAAATAGGAGAAGAATGATGAGCTAGTGGAGCAAAAAAACAATAAACCCAAATCCCTATCCCCTAAGCCTTTAAACCTTAACTCTTAGCCCTTATTCGAGTAACCCCTATCCCTAACCTCTAACACCTAAACCACTAAACCATAACCCAAAACACGAAAAGCTCTATTCCCCGAGCCCTATGGCCTAAACCTCTTTGAATTCTACGTTCTATTAATCTCTTTTACGTGCTACAAACTCCTAATATTCTTCCATACTTTGTCCTTTTGCTCTCCTCCAAATAATTCAACTTTCTTTCCAACATATAACAATTTAATAGAAAGGTAATAAAAAAAAGAAATAAAACATAATTCCTAGAATAGAAAAGCGAACAAAATACATATTATCAAAAAAGTGCTAAACAATTAAAGGTTTGGAAAAACATGAAAACAACAACGATAAATGAAAAGGAACCTACCGGATAATGAGAGTATTGGGGGATGAAAATAATA